CCCAACCTTGCGTTTTGCTCCTTTTTTTTTTGTGATGTACATGTATTGCTTCTAGCAGTCAGTAGGTAATGATAATGCTTCCTCGGCCTGCACTGCTACACAGGGCCTCTACCATGTGCAGTAGAGGCCTGCTTGCCTCCCTGCCTTCCCTTTCATCTCCTAGTCTCCCCACAAGGGAGGTCTTGCGATTTCTGGGCAGAGACCTTGGTGGTTCTTGCTGGCTCAAATGTTACCACCTTCCAACAAAGTCAGCGTCTGTCTCTTTTGTGTCAGGGTAGCCACCTGTTTCCTGCTGGCCTGGATTCCTCTTCTGTGTGGGCCTGGCAGTGTGAGTCACTGTGCTGCCAGGTGCGGGCCAGGCAATGGCTCAGAATGAAGATAAGAGTTCCCACAGTGGGTGTGGCTCCAGACCCTACTGCTTCCTCTAACCTGCTGGCAGACAGAGGAAGAATTAAGAGGCTTAAGAGTGTTGGAGCCAGACAGAAATCCTCATTTCCATGTAATCTTGATGTTCTGCCTGATGTGCTTGCAATCTGTAGTCACCAGTTGCTGGGGCTCTCTGCCTGATGACACTTTCTTTTTGGTGGTAGAGGAGAATGGAATCTAAGACCTTTTGTAGGGAAACATGTCCTCTACCACCGAGTTAGCCCAATCCTTCTTATATTGACTTAACAAAGATAGGCTTTTTCTCTTCCCTTCCCCTCCTCCTCCTCTCCAGGGTTTCTAGTAGCCCAGGCTGGCCTTGACCCTCATACTTCCACTTTCCAAGTGCTAGGATCACAGACACTCATTAGCTGCCTGTCTTCCTCCCTCTCCCTTCTTACTTTCTCCTCCCTTCCCCTCTCTTGCCTTCTCTCCTTCTTCCACCTATCCTCTTTTCTCCACCCCCTTTCTTCCAGGGATGCATATCAGATCCTTTCATAATCCACAATAGGTACCACTCTTCTCCCATGGCATAGGCTCAGGGGAGAGGCTCTCCAAGAATGGCTGATGCACCTGAGAGAAGGGGTGTATGGCCTTTTGTAGTGTTCCTTAAGACTAAGTCATAATATTTGCCCCAGAGACTTCCATAGCCTTCCCAGGAAACTTCCCAGCCTCTACTCAGTGGGAAACAGAGCAGAAGGGAGGAGGCCTGAGTAGATTTCCATCCAAGTGGAGCTCCTCTGTGGAGGAGGAGGGTGACTGTTATTGCCTCTTCGATTCATGAGGAGAGAGAGGCAGGGAGTCCTATTCCTTCTTTAGTTCTTCAGATGCAAAGATCCAGGGATTCACAATCTGTCTCCTTCCCATGCATTGCCTCCCATGCACTACAAGATGAGCCTAAGGAAGCAGAAGCCTGGCTTAAGAGACACTGGTGGAAATGCCCTCTAATGCAGCCAGTGCTGCCTCATTCTGGCCCTTATTCACACAGATTTATCAAGAGGAGAAGCCCAGCCTGAGAATCCTGGTTCCTATCTTTGTTCATCGTCAGCTGTCAGCAGGAGAGCCAGGGCTAACTTTGGATGTGTTGAGGACACAAGCAAAAACTCAAGACTATGGAAGACTCCACCTACACTCAAAATCTTCCCACTGATAGGCAGTCATGACTAACACTAATTCCTCAATGTGAGCAAGCCTTTTCGGGGTTAGGAGGTAGGTACATATACTATATTTTATAGATAAGATGCTGAGGAACAGAAAGGCAGACTAAGTAGCCCAGGGTGGCTCAGTTAGCAAGTTGTCCAGTGAGGGTATGAACCCTACACCCTTAATCCATGAAGTTGTCCTGCCAGTGTCATAGAGTCTACTTCAGAACCCTGAAAACAACCTAACACCTGACCCTCTGCTCCATGGCACCCTATCTGTGTCACAGCTCTCAACTCCCCAACAGGAAAAGGTAGGCATGAACCATATTGAACATACTGGAAGCCCTCTGGGGGGTATTTCCCAAAACATATAAGAAAGCTCTTCTAGTTCATTTGGAGACTACTGCATGCTCACTTTGCAGAATGCCACAGTGGTGTGGATTGGTGGCAAGCTTATCCCATCAGGTGTGTGAAGGACTGGTGCCCAGTGAGGCTCAGTCACCCAAGATTGCAGAGTGTCCAAGCAGGGCTCAAACATAGAACTCTCATGCAATGTGTTGGCTTTTCTACAATTTTATAGTTGCATAGGGCTAAGTGTAGCTTTGGGGGTCTATGGAGATGCCTCATCCTCAGCACCCCAAAGCTATTCCATTCCTGGTTCTTCTCCTTCTCATGTTTCCATTTATTTTGGAATTGCCAAAGGAGGAATCTTTAAAGGAGAGTCACACTCACCTCCCTGTCCTTCTGTCACTGGGAGCTGGAGGTGGGGCCTAGGGCTGTATATTCATAGTATACTCTCAGACAGTGGAAAGCAGGAAAGTCTTGCATACTTGGTTCTGATGAGTGTGCTCCCAGGCCTTGCAGAAGCTCTGCCCCCAAGCCTCCCCTCATGGCAGGGAGCCAGTCAGCACAACAGAAGTCTCCGCATGAGTGAACTTCTCTTTACTTTTTTTGTGTAGGTGTCTCTTTTGCAGGAGGGGGCAGGGAATCTGTGTGAAATGACCAGTCCTATTATGTACTGAGAATGTCTTAAGGTTTGTACTGCTGTGATAAAACACTGTGGCCAAAAGCAACTTGGGGAGGAAAGGGTTTATTTCAGTTTGCAGCTCAGGTCACTCCACCACCAAGGGAAGTCAGGGCAGGAACTAAAGCAGAAACCACAAGAAAATGTACTGGCTTGCTCAGTTTGCTTTTTTATTCACTCCAGGACATAGTGAGCTGGACTCTTCTACATCAGCCATCAACCAAAAAAAAATTTTAAAAAAAGAAAGAAAAAAGACGAAAGAAGGAAAGAAAAAAAGAAAGAAAGGAAGGAAGGAAGGAAGGAAGGAAGGAAGGAAGGAAGGAAGGAAAGAAAGAAATAAAGGAAAGAGAAGAAAAGAAAAAGGCCAAACAGTAGGCCAATCTGATGTGTGTGGGGGGGCATTTCTTCAATTGAGATTTTCTGTTACCAGATATGTCTAGGTTTGTGGCTCAGAGGACCAAATGCTTCTCTAGGCAAAGGTCCTGAGGCCTAGCAGCAATCTAGGGAATCTCGTGTTCTCTGAGCAGGCTGTTCATTATGGCTGAGGTTTCTTAACAACTTGTGATGTAATCGCTTCCGAGTCATCCCTGTGAATTAAGTGCATTGCCGAAATCTCTGCCCCCACCCAGGACAAGGGAACGGAGCCCAGAAATCTTTTGTGCTATGCCATCATCAAATTATGTCTTATGTACTAGAATTTTGAGTAACTTTGAGTAACTTATGTACTAGAATTTTGAGTAATTAGGATGTATACTTTGGAGTGTCACAGACTTGGGTTCAAATCTCAGTGTGATTTGGACCCATTCTTAACCTCGATTTTTCTATATAAAATAGGTATTTCCCAATTTTTTGGTCTTGCTGTGAGCTAATCCTCACAGTGGGACTAATCACACAGACACACACACCTCAGCCCAGCATGACAAAGAGAGGCACCAGCATGCATACTTTTTCTGGCAGGGGGAGGAACAGCTGTGAGCCAGTTAACAGCAGTATACATTACTCACCCACCGCCAAACACTGAGCTGTTCCAAAAACAATTCTGAATTTCCATTTCCTCTGGGATGGAGTCAGTGGATTTTTGAAGGTGATAGGTCCTTTCCCATCCTCAGGTGAGGGGTCAGGAATTATGAATAAAACACAATGCAATTCTGACTCTCTTGATGTCCCCAGCTGTGCAACTATTTGCCTACCATCTCCCTGCCAGATCCTCCACTTCCCATTCCCAGGCCCCTCATGGGCTTCCGGCCCAGCCTGGGAGACCTCTTAGGCTAAACCTTGGTCTCTCAAGATCCTTGGAACCTTCAACTTTGAAGCCAGCCTCCAGGATTTTCAGTCTCCATTGTTGTCCTCCTAGATTTCTGTAGCCCAGCCAACCCAAAGGAATGGCAGAGCTCTGGAAAACCTCAGCATTCATAATGGGTCACTCCTCTCCGGAAATGTTCCCCAACTCTGCTGAGAACTTGCCAGGAGACTTGGTGACGGCCTGCTCTTGGCACACACAATAGACCGGGGTCTGAACAAGGTAGAGGAGAGAAAACATCCGCCTGTCAATAGGCTGCCATTCTCCTGGGATACCCCTCACCCTAGGGTCAACTTTGGGCTCCCAGAGGGAGGGAGGGGTGCATCTTGATGCTAGATGCCAGCTGTGGCAACAAGCAGGGCAGGCAGAGGCTGGAAGCACTGCTCAGCTTCCCTAGCTTGACAGCGTTCTCAACAGATGTGTGAGCCAGATTAGAAGTCAAATCTGCTTATTCTGGTTCCCCTGCCAGCCCTGAGGACAGCGCTCTCAGCCAACATTGGATGGTATTAAAACCTAAGCTGGCAGACAGAACAGTTCCAAGTACGTGACTGAGGAAAACAGGACTCAGCAAGTGGATGTAGCTAGTGGTTTGCTTTATTCACCATATACAGGGAGCTAATGCTCCAGGTCTATTTCCAAATTCATTGAAAGGAGTCATTATACCTGCCTTTTCTGCCCTTGGCAAGTTTTTGAATCAAGACTGGAATACTGGGCATTAAAGCACCTTGGTACTTACAAAGGAGTTACTTAGTCCTCAAGTAGTACTGCTATCTTAGCAAAGGCTTTAGGGGAAGGGCTCACCTGAGGAAGATCATAGCCAAGTAGAGAGCATATCCTCTTCAGCTCAGGTAGGTTAGTCCAAGAGAGACCCTTGGACTGAAACCTTGAGGGCCAGGGACAGACCACAACAGATATAGAATATCTATATAAGGGCCCCCTAGAAGTGCTATTTCTCTCTTAAGTTCTGTGATGCTTGAGTTGTGTATACTTGAGGAACCTTTGTGGCAACCAGCATTGCTGGAGGATGTAACACCAAGGAGAGCTTCCTAGCAGAGGGGAGTTTAAGACATGTTTGAGAGGAGACGGGGAAATAGCTCATTAAATGCCGAGGTGCTCACTTCAGCAGCACCGTAGTGAAAATGGAGTGAGCAGAGAAGACTAGCATGGCCCTATGTAAGGATGGCATGCAAACCCAGGGAGTGTTCCATATTTTCCTCTAATTTTTGGATTTGTATGTTTATGTAGAAGGGAGTGTAAGCAGCTGTCATGAAACTAAAAAGGGTGGAGGGAGTCTTTACAATAGGGGAGAGTAATTGAAGACATGCAGTGTAAAAGCGGAAAAGGGAAATTCTGGGAGTGACTGGTATAAACTGGGAGGTGGGGAAAGGTAGTGAGAGCATCTAAAACAAGTATGTATGAAAACAAAAAGCTGAGGGTGGAGAGACAGCTCGACAGTTAAGAGCACTGGCTGCTTTTCCCATGTTTGATTCCCAGCACCCACATGGCAGCCCAGAACTGTTTGTAACTACAGTTCCAGGGAATTTGATGCCCACTTCTGGTCTCTGAAGACACTGCATACACATGATATGTAGGCATACATGCAGGTAAGACATCCATACAACATAAAACAAAAATAATCTTAAAAAAGAAAATGCTGTCAAGGTTGGAGAGACACTTACAGCATATGGATGAAGACCTGACTTGCGCTCTCCGGCACTCAGATAAGAAGCCAGGGTCAGCCCTTGGCACTGGGTGGGGGTGGGCAGTAGGGTAAGGGACACAACCACAGGCAGAGTCTAATCTCTAGTCTATTGGTCAGTCAGTGTAGCTAATCAGTGAGAGACCCTGCTTCAAAAAATAAGGTGAGAGCAATTAAGATAAAGACAATGTTGACATCTGGTAAATACATATGCACCATACACAAACAAGCAGGTGTGCATACAATCCACCACACACACACATGCAAAGAATATGTCATGAATAAATATGTTACTTGGCATGCTAATTAAAAATTAAGTTAAAGGCATCAAAGTGTAGCTCAGTTGTAGAACACATTCCTAGTATGTGCAAGTCCCTGGGTTCTTGCCCAGTATAGGGAGGGACAGGTTGGTATGTCAGGGAGGGCATTCTGAAGGTATCTGGGGCCCAGTTTCAGGAACTAGGGTTGTATGTTAGTATGTCAGTGATAGAGCATACACTCAGCATGATAAGGCCTTGGGTTCCATCCCTAACATTTCCTGAGCAATCAGGCATCTAGAGTCCGTTTTCATGGTATGGATGTGAGCACTGAGTTCCAGCATGTTCGAGGAGCCTGACCAAAGCTCAGTGAGTAGCAGCTGGGATAGAGGTGCTGCAGAGGGTGGATAGGGCATCCAGGCAAGGGGTGCAAAGGCTTGAGGAAGGTGGCCTCTTCCTCAAGAGGTGGAGCATATGAAGAGGGCAGGACAAGGGCATTGTGGTGAGGAGTGGGCACAGCTGATTACTAAGGCCAACAGGCCAGCCGGCAGCAAGCGCTGAAGCTCCCCAGAGCCTCCCTGTAACTAGGAACACCTGTGGCCATAGAACGTGAACCAAGAGAGCACAATGAAGTCTAAAGAAAGCTGAGTCCAACGGAATGAGGCCCCAGCATGCTGCTCTGGGAAGGGGCCTGGCAAGGAGGGTGGATTCCTGTGTGGGGCCCCAGCATGCTGTTTGAGAGGGAGGCCTGCTTGGCAATGGGTCCCAACAGGTCCTCAGTATAGCAGATGCTTCCTGTTTATGTTAATTAATACAGACTTTCAGACACCTTTGAGCCTAGAGGTGGAAGTCCAATTCAGTTTAGGAGACTGGAAACACCTGCAGGTACTGTGTGTGGGGCTGAGTCCTCGGAAATAATGGCTCCCTCTGTGGTTATCTCTATGCGAATCTGTGAGATGCAGACGCAACACCCAACCTAGAGCCACATTTGTCATTTCTGAACTGGCTGCTTTCTCCTTGCTTAGACTGGGTTCTATAAGGAAAGAACCCTGTGCTTATTTATTTATTTATTTTTTCAACTTCTAGTGTTTTGAAGAGTGCTTTGAGCCAAAATATTGTTGCTTGGGTTTCTTTCTTTTTTCTCTTCTCTCTCTCTCTTTCTTTCCTTCCTTCCTTCCTTCCTCCCTCCCTCCTTCCTTCCTTCCTTCCTTCTTTCCTTCCTTTTTTCCTTTTCAGATAGGAGCTACCCGTGTTGCCCAAGTTAGCCGCTGGGTTCAAGCGATCCATCTACCTCAGCTTCTCAAACAGTTGGGACAACAGCAAGGTGCCCAGCTAAAAAGTCTCTCGGGGATGGAGCGCTCACTCCCTCAGAAAGCAGCCAGACTACACTGAGGAATCTGGGACCCAATGCTCATTGTTTGTCTTGAATTCCCTTTCTATGTTTACTTCAGCCACAATCAAAGCTCTTGGAAAACAATTCAAGACAAACACCTATCCAGGGCTGGTGAGATAGCTCAGCTGGCTGTCCTTCATAGTACCCAGTTTCCATTCCTAGAACCTACATGGCAGCTCTCATTCCAGGGGGATCCATTGCCCTCTTCTGGCTTCCACAAGCACCTGACATGCAATTGCTGACATGCAATTATATGCAGGTAAAACACTCATACACATAAAACAAAATTTAAATTAAAAAAAAATCCTCTCAGGCAGTCATGGCACACACCTTTAAACCCAGCACTTGGGAGGCAGAGGCAGGCAGATCTTTGTGAGTTCAAGGTCAAGAAGCCTGGTCTACAGAGTGAGTTCAGGGACAGCCAAGGCTACACAGAGAAATCCTGTCTCAAAAAAAGCCAAAAAAAAAAAAATTCTCTCAGCTAGTCATCTTTTGAAACCTTATTAGATATTTTAAATAGATTCTATTTAATACATTCATACTGAGATCATACCACAGGTGAGGAATGAAAGAAAAGTTCCTAACTTTAATTCCTGGGCTGGGACGCCCTGGGAAGGAAGCACGCTGGAGTTCCTGGTGAAGAGAAGGGGTCGCAACATGCAGTGGGGTGGTAGCAAGCCCCTGCTTCATGGAGTCCTCTACGTGCCCCTGTCAACACTTTGGGAAGAGCACCACTACTCCCTGTTTCACAGAGAAGGAAATGAAGGCCCAGAGAGGTCATGCTCAGGAGCCCACACTGACTCAGCTGGAGGCACTGGGGGTAGGGGTGGGGACTTGAATCTGTTGTATCCCTAGATTCACAATTCTGTTTCCCATAAGTCCTCCTGAAGGGAACATACAGGCATTACCAAAAGTTTCCGTTACATCTGAAGGGATGTGGTGGTGGTGGTGGAACCCATGGCTTTACAAATGCTAAGTACTTACTCCATCAATGGTCTATATCCAGGCCAGGAAGTTATAAAAGAGTGACTAATGGGCACCTCCTCATCCCCTAAAGACTGAAACCTCATGAGAAGAGGCAAAAACCACAGCCTGAAACTACAAGCAATGGAGCTCTTGAGAGTAGGCAGGACCAAATGGACCCCACGCCATGTGGCACTGCCTGGCAGGTAACCGGGAGGTGTGATAGAGAATACGGGCACTACGGACACACTAGGGGAGGAGGAGGTGCTGGATGCTACATTTCCAGTCCAGCAGGGAGCAGGGACAGGTATTCTCTTGGCTGTGCAGCCAATACCCACTAGGTCATATGCTGACATCATCAGGAAGGTGCTGAAAGGATCTATACTTGACATTTGAGGTTTCTTGGGATCTGAGGTGGGATGAATAGAGAGTTACAGCTATTGGCTACTTCCTTGGGGAAGGCTCTGGGTTGGGCTATTTATTTGTTTAGTTAGTTATTTTAGAGACAAGGTCTATGTTGTCCGGTCTAGCTGAATTTTGCCTCTGCATTGTCAAGTAGCTGGCACTATAACCTCTGCCACTCCACCCATCTGGGTTACATTACTGTTGTGATGGTTAGTGTTATCATCTTGTCACTTGCTAGAACAGCAGTTTTTAAACTGTAGGTTTTGACCCCTTTGGGGGGTGGGTCTAACCACCTTTCCACAGGGGTCGCCTAAGACCATTGGAAAACACAGATATTACATCATGATTCATAACACTTGCAAAACTACTGTTCTGAAGTCGCAATGAAAATAAATTTATGGTTGGAGATCACCACAACATGAGGTGTTAGAGGGTTGAAGTGTTAGGAAGGTTGAGAGCCACTGCTCTGGAGTCACCTGGGAGGAGACAAACCTCCAGGCAGACTTTCAAGGGATTATTTAGCCTCTAGGCATACCTGTGATTACCTGAGGTGTGAGGACCCATCCTAAAAGAGAGTTTGGGTGCTGGACTGTATAGTCAGGAGAAAGCAAGCTGAGCATAAGCATTCATCGTCAGCTTCATGACTGGGTGGGTTGTGACTAGCCTGCTCCAGGCTTCTGCTGTGCTGGACTGGTTCTTGAGCTGTGAGCAGAAACAAAATCCATTCCTCATTGATGTTCCTTTGGCAGGGTACTTTAAACAAGTTAATTATTACTATTGTGTGGGTGAGGAGTGTGGGTGTGCTTGAGTGTATCTTACCACTGCAATGAGAATAGAAACTAAGACAGAAAACTGATATAGAGAAGTGTGCTCACTGCTGTGCTGAGCCTGACTGTGCGGTTCTTACGCCTTTGGAACTGTTTGTGGGAGGAATATGGAACCATCTGAAAGTTTGGGCTAAAAAAGCTCTTGCTTGGAGGAAGTAGAGCTTGTGGGTCATTCTTGTAGGAGCATGGAAGACAAGAGTGCCACAGAAACACTGGCAGTGGAGGGCCCAGCTCATGAGGTTTCTGAGAGGGACAGAGGCTGCAGCAGGAGCTGGACTGATAATCATGTGATATTTGATCCAGAATCTGGTTTCATTCTACCTATTTCCCAGGAACTTGAATGAAATTGAATTTAAAAAATAATGGATCAATTTGTTTAACAGAGAAACTCTCAAGACAGGAGAACTCTTGGGCTGGGGCTGGGAAATTGGCTGTAATTGTTAGAGGTCAGCATCACTGAAGAGCAACTTCTGTACTGCAATGGGACAGCAAAAAAGGTGTCCTGAAGGCAACCCTGCCTCCCCCCAACCTCCAATCAGAGGTTACATCCTGAGCTGATAGTTGTATTGTCCACGTGGTATCCTCCCTTAGTATTCCTAGCTCCCCTAACTCCATCAGAGACCTCTGGCCACTCTAGCATGACAGCCCCTGAACTCCTATCTCCTGATGTTGCTTTAGGTCATCTTGTTGAACTTCTGGCCTCTGTGTCCAGCTGGGCAAAGCTTGTTTCCCTGTTAGCTCACTGCTGTATAAAGCCAAGCACACTGCCTGGCACACAGTGCCTGGCAAAAGTCTGTTTGAAGAAAGGCTACTTTGGCCTTGCCTGTAGGTCTGAGCTTTCAGAAGAAAGGAGGATTGTCTTGTACCTGTCCTGGTACCCAGCACAGGGCTAGGCATGGAGGCTGTGAGCAATGCTTTTGCTGCTGATTTGCTTTACACAGAGAGAGCTAAAATGGGGTTGTGCAGTCTCAAATTGGAAGCAAATGTCCAAAGAAAGGTGAAGAAAAATGGAGCATAAGCAGCCAACCTGCTTCAAAGAAGGAAGAAGGGGCAGGTGGGGGGGGGCGGTTCTAGTTCTAATGCTGACCCTCAAGATCTAGTTACACCTATCCTTGTTTTGTAAACCAGCCAAAGACATACCTGATTTGTTGATTAAAGGCTATACCTGGGCAGGGCAGAGTGGGGGTAGGCATGTCTAAGGTTCCCAGGCTTTGGGTTCAAGAGACTTATGGGAGAGAGACAGATGGGAAGAGAAGAGGGAGGAAGCCATGATGGGTTAGTGTGGAGAAAAAAAACATGTGGCCTGAGAGGAAGGACTCCAATAATGGTGTGAAAAGGCCCAGATGAAGAATATAAGCAAGTACTATGGGATTATAGATGAGAAGGAGTAAGGCGGATGGCATTGGATGGGAGCTGGGAGATGGATGGTGAGGTTATTGAGACAGCATAGGTGAAGTATCTGCCTGGCCCAAGCTAAATAAGGCAATTATAAACTCCAACAGGTGTCTGTGTCTTATTATTTGTGATAGCAGGCTAAATAATACTGGCACAATAATTATAGGACTAATAAAATAATAATAAACTTTATTTAGCCCAACACTCATTTTAATTTTCTACAACAGGAATGTCTCACAACAGTGCTGACAGCTGACTGGCCAAAAGGCTCAAGAGGAGTGAAGGGTGGTTTGCCAGGCCTAAGCCCTGACCTCCAGCTCCAGACTTCAGGGCCAGGTGCAGGAGCGCCTGTATCTTCTAGAACCTCCCTGTGATTGTGGTTATGAAGACATGAAGAAGGGTGTCTGAGTCTGTGAGGAGGAATCAGGCCCAAGAAGCTTCTGGCTTAGAAGGCTGATGGGGCCTGAAGATGGATTCTATGGGAGAGGTCCAGGGTACCTGGAGGAATGGGACAAGGGAGAGCTAACCCTAGGTCCAATCAGTGAGCGTGTGGGCCCTGCACTGCAGCCATCAACAGGGACCTTCTGGCTAGCAGCTGTAAGTGGGCATGGGGGAGGGAAGGTCAGATGGGGCTCTGGGCATTCCTGACCCAACACGGAGGACAGTAAATGTGATGCCAGAGGGGACAATGACTCAGCAGGGACTCCAGCAGAAAGGCTTCTGTTTAGGAAAGTTGCAAATCATCAGGAAATGACTTCTGGGTACCCAGGAAACAGAGTTCCAGGGCCTGGGCTGGCCTGTGACTCGAGCTTGGTCCCTAGGGCACTAGCAGTGCCTGGCATCTCATAGCTTGTCACTCAGCCCTGCCTCGCTCCCATATCCAGCTCTCCTGTCAAGAGCCACCATCTCTCCTGAGCTGACCTAAGCCTATTCTGTCCTGCTGAGTGTAGATGGTCCCCCTCCCCAGAGCTTTCTAGTGTGAAGGTTCCCTGACCCAGACATTTCTCCCTGTATCTCCACAACCAGAGCCACAGCACAAGGACAGCTGCACAGGAAGGTTCTGGAAGATGCAGGGGCATTTGCACACAGTAGGCCCACACAGTGTGACAAATGTTGACCTCTACGGTGCTGCTCCAGGAAGCTGCATCTACGCTGGCCCTTCCTTGTGCCTGCTTCCTGCATCCCAGGTCTGTTTACCTGTTCCTTGCTCTCTACCCTCTTCTCTTTAAGAATCAAGGAGGGTTGGATGACACACAGACCTAGGGCTCTGGAATTCTAGGAAGGTTTTTGTTGTTGATTTGTTTTTTCTTGTGCTGACGGTAGAACTCAGGGTTCACAGAACTTAAGGATTTTGTGCCATGGTAGGCAAGGCCTCTGCCACTAAGCCACGTCCTCAGACTTAGGTTTCTAATTTGTGATGTGACCTGAGGCCAGTTACTTCATCCCTGGAGACTCCATTGTTTACATATGTGATCAAAGAGAAAGAAGTTGTGGTGGAGATTGGCTGAGATGGGTCTGGGCATTGCAGGTGGGGAGAGGATAGAAGGCAGAAGGCAGAGGGAAGGCAGCTTAGTGTCCAGGCTTCATGTAGTCACTGGATCCCAGCCTGTGTGTTTCCTGGCCTTTCCCTTATAGGAAGTGGTAATTGTTACTTGAAAGGTTCTGCACTTTGATCACTGATAGGGACCAGTGTAGGAGATGGGACCAAGCCCTGGCCCACCCAACTTCCACGGCTTTGGTGAGGAAGCAGGAACCCCCTCAAGTACAAGGCTACAGAACAGGAAAGGCCAGGGGGCATTCCTTAGGGCTTGGCATTCTGCCTGGTCTTGGAAGAATTTTGAGCAATGAATTGGAAACCAGCTGGAGCCTCAGCATTCTAAGATCTGTGAGGCAGGAGGGAGGGCCAGGTATAAGGGAGGTGTTTGGGAGCGGCATGTGGTGGCTTCAAGAGCGACTTAGGTAAGCACCTGCCACTGCTCTGGTCTTGGCCATTTCAATACCAATCTATAACTCACTCTCTCTCTCACTCACACATATGCACACACAGAGGTGTATGTGGGAGTAGAGACAGAGAGAAAGAGAGAGAAATAGACCTGTCTCTGCTTCCTTAGTATTGGGATTAAAGGCATACATCACTATATCTTGCCCAGCTCTCTTTTTTATCTGTGTGTCCTCCCATCCCAAGAAGTCAAGGAACCATGTAGTCTTGGCAAAGCAGAGTGATCCATGGAAACCAGAGCCCATGCCCCTCCTCAGGACTCTCTGGGTTCTTCTCAGTGGTTCCACCTCACAGGCACAACCTGGGACAAGGGCAAGACACAGAACACCCATGACCCTTAGTGTGTCTTACCAGAGTTGATGTAGCCTCAAACGTAGCACAGAGGGTACCAGAATCCCCTCACCCCCAGCCCAGGGCATGTTCAGAGATGTGCAGACCAGTCTCTCTTTAATGGTTTGTATATATGTATAAGCAAGACATTTAGAGTCTTTGGCCCTCTATCTTTGGCATTGTTCTGTCAGTCACCTTTTCTGAATGAGACTGCTCACGGCTTTCTGTACAACATGAATTAAATATATTCTCTGTCTTTGCTCTGAGTCACAGGACATTCACAGTCAGTGGGGAAGGGGGTTAGGGAAAACCCAGGCTCTAAGGGGTTGGGATGGGCATGGGACCTGTGGAGAAAACATGGGCTTGACCTCCCCTTGGCCTTTGTCCTTCAAGTTCAGCCAAGTGTTGGGGAGACATGAGAGGAGTGCTGAGGAAAGGTGTCTTCTCCAGGGGATGCAGGATGGCGCTCTCAGTATCAGACCTGTTGCCATCACCTTTCTCCAGCTCAGGCTGTGATGCCAACACCCTTCCTCTCAGGAACCCCTCTGTAAAGGCTGGTGCCAGCGTCAAGTGGGTAGGGCTAAGAAGGAGGCGGGGGATGGGGGAAAGGCTGCAACAGACCTAAATACCCAAGGCCACCCTGGTACCAGTGTCAGGGTGACCTGGCATATCTGAGTGCCAGCCTCAGGACCCTGAGACAGGGCTGACTTATCAGCCCTCAGGGATGATAACACCCATAGGAGTGGCTTAGGGAAGAAGAACATAGGTGCTAGGTCAGAGCTCCAAGGACTACGTTCTACCACCTGCCAGTTTAAGGCAACCCTTTCCAAACTGGGGGATGGGCAGAGGGTAGCTGAGGTGGCAGGAGTACATCCTGCTGCATGGGCAGCATGCTGACTTTTTAGCTTTGGTTCAAGCCAGAGGGTACAAGGGCTTCTGGCAAGGAGGGGACCATAGCATGGTGGAGATGGTGACAAGATGGGATACTACTTTTCCTGATTCTCCAGGGATGCCAGGTAAGGTGCTGTATCCCTTGTTCTTAGAGGGGAAGAAGGTGAAGCAAACATCCAAGGGATAAGAAAGGGGTTGGTCAAGCTGATGAGCCATCCAGGACCCCCACATTCTCCTGCACTTCAGCTGGGAAAGGGTCCCAGGCCCCTCCTTACCCTTCCCTTCCTCTCAGGGAAGCAGCTCATGCCTCCATCCCACAAGGGTGACAAAGGGGTTGGTGTCCAGGTAGAGGCCATCACAGAGGTGTGGCAAGCAAGGAAAGGAAGCAACTGCTACCAACAGGGCTGCCAAGTGCTCCTCCAGACTAGCCACAGGCATTCATTTTTCAGCCCTCTGATGGCCACATAGGCCCCATACTTCCTGAATTTGTGTTCCTCGTGGCCTCTCATCCCTCGAGCTGAAGCAGGGTGGGCACGGCTCAGAAGATGCTCTGCCGCCGGCTCTTCCCTCGCCCTGGAGAACGGAGATGGGGAACAGGAAGGAATAGAGGGATAGGACACTTGTCCTTCACATTGTGATCCAATGAGCAAAAGCATGTCTTTGCATTCAGGTATCATCTCTGTTACTTGAGAACTGCGTGAAATTGTGACTTTACCTCTAGGAGCCTCAGTAGAGGACAGGTATAGTACCAACACCACAGGGTGTTTTAAAACTACTGAGACAATAGACGGGAATTACTGTCGGGTCCAAGGCTATTGGCTCTGCTGGAGACAAAATCATCTGGACTGTACAGGAGCTCAGGGTCTTTACAGAGACTACCTGAGGGATGGGACACACCCTTGCCAGGACTAACTGTAAAAGGCAGTGTTCGTCTGGGTGGGAGTAGGTGAGGGAGGACCCTCCCATAAGGTGTATGTGGGAGTGTTGACTCCCCATCCCAAGGGCAAACCACAGGCCCATCTCTTCCTCAGCAGAAAGTCCCTACTGGGGAAGGGGTAGTCTGCTTGGCTGCTTCTAGCAAAGGGTTTAGAGGGCATGTGGCCCTTACCTGGGTGCTGAAAGCCCAGGCCACGATAGCCTGGGTCCTTTTGGAGCTGGATCTCCTTCAGGGAGAAGATGGAGGCAGCTGGGCAGGAGAAGAGGGCCAGTGAGACTTAGGTGGTGTCACTCTGCTCCTGTACCCACCATCCCCACTTCCACTAAACCCCTAGAGGCGAGGCGCCCTCCAGTCAAGACTCATCCAGGAAGAACACACACACCTCAGACAGAATCCACCTCCTTAGCTCCAAATGAGAACTGTGAAGGGGAAGCCAAGTGTCCAAGACACCCCAGCAAGGCTGCAGCCTCTGCTATAGCTCCCACCTATACCCGCTTCCCTTTTCCTGCTTCTGGCCGGCGCTGATTCCTTGGACACCTACTGTCTTCGAGCTGGTGTACACGTTCTCCCAGAGACTGGAAGTAGGGGTGATTTAGGGCTGCCTCCGCCGACATGCGACTCTTGGATTCGTACTGAAAGGCACAGGGTAGGCTCTTGGGTCCTGCTGGAGAACGTTCTAGAAAATGGGACTCCTGTGCTAAGTTAGATGGCCAAGGTGGGAGAAGGCCCCATCTGACCCAAACCAGGCATTCTCAGGCCTTAGGATACCAGGGTTCAGATACCAGAGCTTCCTGGGAGACTGACTGCATCTTGGGATGAGTATACTTGAGAGGGCCATGGCAATCATCACTCGAATTATCAGTGCTATTAGCAGACAGCACCATTAGCTGCCCTTTATCCTGTGCTTGCTCCCACGTAGACACTGCACCACCCCCATAATCTTGGTGTACTCCAGTGTCATCTAAAAAATGAACTGATATTCACTATACAGCTGAGAAAACTGAGCCTTCCGTCCCCAGAAAATGCCCAACCAGGCCCTGGGTGCCAAGCACAGAGACTAGTGCCCCTCTTGGGCTTTGGAGTCGCAGGCAGTATCTGTGCTACCGGCCTGGCTTGTTTTAATTGTCGCTCCCTGGGTAGGATGGGAGGAAACTCACCAGGAGGAGGCTGGTCAGGAGGTTGATGCCTTCAGTATCCAACCTGCAAGGAGGAGGCGCTGGCACAGGCGCAGAAAGGGGCAGGCTAGGGACCCGAACCTCTGGGAGGGAGATCACAGTGGGGAGCGAGGGGTTCTGGCAAGGGAATACCTGGGAGCATGGCTGAGCAGCGGCTGTGGCAGGTATCGGGGGAAGTTGTAGGCTCGAAACTCGGAGATGGATGTCACCCCCGGCCATGACTCTTCTGTAGGAGTCCCTACAGAAGACACAGGCCGCGTAAGAAGTATGAATGAAGGGCTGAGGCAGATATGGAGTGTAGATGGTCCCAACCTGCCCAGGCTTCGGTGCTCCTGGTTGGACAGAGTTCTGGCGCCCCCTGACGGCGAGGTGGAGCGTACAGAAGAAAACTACTAACCCAGAAGCCGGAAGATGAGGTGTAACTCCTCCTTGACAGTAGAGCCTGGGAAGAGGGGCTTCCCGGTGGCCATTTCATAAAGGATGCAGCCCACGCCCCTGCGGAAGCAAGGGCGGTGGTGATTCCAGGGCGCATCCCCCACTACCTACCCCAAGGCTGCTATATGAGGAATCCAATGAGACGCTAACACAACCTGAGAGGTCACATCTGGGGCTTAAAGAGCTCCAGACTCCCACTCAGGACCCTCTTTGCGAGCTCTGGATCCTCTTAACTCTGCTAAGTAGGAAGAGATACTTACTCTCTCCGGGGAGCCTTGGGCTCAGCCAGACACTCATGCTGGCTTTAAAGTCGAGTTGGTTTTCATTTTACAGCAAATCATACATTTGTCAATTGTAACAAAAAAATAGTATGTCCCTTCGACGTGTTTTAGGGGAGGGGACTCATCTACCCTCTGGTAAGTCCCACTCCACCCCCGGGGAAGCGTTTCAGAAGTATAGCATCAGAGGCGCCATAAGTTCAGAGGGAGAATTTGCTAACACACGGCAGCAGGGGCCAGTGGAGCTGTGAGCAAGGCCAGGCTTTCCCTGGACAGTATACCGATATGGATGGACAACCTCTTTTACTCCTCTCTGCTGCACACTCACCACATGTCAATGGGGGTGGAGTACTCTGTGGATCCCAGCAGCACATCTGGAGGCCTGTACCAGAGGGTCACCACCTCATTGGAATAGGTCTTTGTAGGCACTGATTTGGCCCGGGCCAGGCCTAGGAACAGACATGTCACTGAACCTCTGCCAAAGGGTCCTGAAGGGTCAGGTGCTCAGCTTTCCTCTCCCCAGAATCCCTATGTCCTGATGAGGCTATGCACCCAAGGGTCAGAGCCACCTGCCAACCCTTCCCCTAACCCTGGCACCAGCCTCACCAAAGTCAGCCAGCTTCAGCTCGCCCCTTTCATTGATGAGCAGGTTCTGAGGCTTCAGGTCCCGGTGCAGAATCTTACGGCGGTGGCAGTAGGCCAGGCCCCGGAGCAGCTGGAACATGAAAATCTGGCGAAGAGAGCAGAAATGAGAAGCGTGGTGGGACTGGACCCCATGTGGGAGGCCCTGCGTCTCTGTCTCACGCTGGAGAGGAATGGGGGGAGGAAGTTTCTAGGAGGGCTGCCTGCTTCTGTTGCCCACCCTGCAGGCCACCTGGGACCTATACACCCCAGGGAACCATATATGGGGGCAGAGGCCAGGTATGGAGAGGGGAGGCCGTGAGTGCCAGGATGCTGGAGCAGTCTCTAGGTGTGACAAGTAAGGGTCCCATAGGAGGGAAGTATGTGCTTGGGTCTTAGTCACCAGAGCTGGTCATCTACCCTCCCGGCTTCTCGGAAGCCTCCCTTCACTCTGGCAGGTAACGTGCGCTTGATGTTCAGAGCTAGAGGAGGATCTGTACCCGTAGCTGGACAGAAGTGGACGGTTAAGTCTGTGTTCTTGGTTGGGGTTCTCAGAATGGCTTCTAGACTGGCAGAGTGGCCTCTCCCTCCTGCCTGCATTTGAAGCTCCAAGTAACCTCGGCAGCCAGTGCGCAAGAAGAGCATCCCGACACTGGGCTTTATGGCAGATGGCTGCCATGATGAGGTCCCTCCCCTATAGCCTCTCACCTTGACATTGTGCATGTTCATGAGGTTTCCACAGTGGTCTAGATACTGTTTCAGGTCACTGTCCTGGAACAGACAGACCAGTTCAGTCCTCTCCCTTGCCTGGCCAGTGGTCCAGACCCAGGCTGAAAGGAAGTCCTCTCCAGTCTGAGCCTGAGCCTGCTGGTGGCACAGGCCCTGGCTCTGAACCCTTGGCTCACTTCTGCATCAAAACTTAATTGGACAAACAAAGGCTGGAGTCCTTCCCTTGCCCCCCATCCCTCCCACTCCCTCCCTCCCCCTCTTCCCTACCCCACTTCACCCACCACAGGGGAAGAGGCTGCTAGCCCCAGTCCAGCTCACCAGGTACTCAAACACCAGGGTGAGGGATCGATCTGTGTGAATGAGGTCATGCAGGGTCACAATATTGGCATGTTTCAGGTCCTTCAGCAGAGACACTGGGGAGACAGGCCCACCTAGGTCCCCAGGCCCACCAATACCTCCTGCTATCCCTTCCTGGGGCCTCAAATGGCCCTCCACCCAGGCTCCCACCAGGTTCAGGTTGCTGAGGCCCCTTATCACAGATGCCCAGGGCGCAGACCCGGACACTATACCCTCTCGAATAGCAGTGCAGGGTGCTCCCTCTTCATGCTCCAGCCGGATCTCCTTCAGGGCCACAAGGTTCTCCGTCAGCTTGCTGCGCCCCTTGAAGACAGTGGCGTAGGTACCCTGGGACAGAGCAGGCCTGGTCAGCCCCAGAGCATCCTGCTCATCCTTTCCTCCCAGCCCCACCCTTTATGTTTCTGCTTGGGTTAGGATTCAAGCTGGGTGCCCTACTCCCTCTGTTCAAATTCTGTTTGCTCCAAAGTTGGCTTTCTCTTGAAGTATCCCTATCAACCCCCTAGCTTGAACAGGCTGCTCATTCCTCTCTTCCCATTCTGCTGCTCCTCTTAGATTATTTATAGCACAGCCTTGCTCTTAGGTCACGGTGATATGGCTCTTGAGAGATGGCATTCTTCCCCTTCACAAACCCACACCCACCCCAGGCCACAAAGCCTGGCACAGTGCTTGCAGAAGCACTTTAATATTGCTTGCTTTGTGCCAGGCACTAGGAACTACACACAAGCTTCCTCTGGTACCCCACAGTCCCCCCAACCATAGAATAGTTTTTCATCCTTTGACAGAGAATGAAACTAAAGAGAGGTCAATGGTCTGTGCTACGATCATGGAGCTAGCAAATGGAGGAATTAGGAATCAAATCTAGGACATAACTACTTGAAAAGAGGGGGAAGAAAAAACTAGACTCTGAGCAGAGACCTCTGTCCTCAAGGCCTGGTTCAAGATCAGGGAACTTAACAGCAGCTGCCAGAGGCTAGGCCAGGCTGCCTGGCAGGACAGTGTGACTCTTACGATTAGGAACCGTGACTGGCAGAACAGAGTCAAAACTACCCCACTTGCTGCCCAGAGAGCAACACTGGTCTCTTACCTCCCCCAGTTTGTCCAGCTTCACATATGTTTCCAGTTTCCCAAAGCCGATATCTGACTGGGAAGGAGACACGGGAGACTGTGAGATGCGAAGCCCAGGCAGAGCCTTCTAGTCCATGTTCCCTCCCGGTCTTTAGGAAATAAGACACCCCCAAAGAACAGAGAGGAACCAAGCCTATCAGCTCCATCGAGGAGCATCAGACCCTTCTTTTTCTCCTCTCCCTTCATCCTTGTAAGAGTTGAGGGTCCCCTGGAAACAGAGCTCCTTCCTCCATGAGTCGGAGATGAACATGCTGAGCTGCACTGCCCACCTCACTCCCTGCCTGCTGCCCACCTCACTGCCTGCCCACTGCCCACCTCACTGTACCCACCTCACTGCCTGCCTGCTGCC